TAAAGTTTTTTATACTTACTTACTTAGTCCTCTTCTGAGCCAGCATGGCTCTTAAGGCAGAAGGAAGGTCTTCCATCTGGTCCGGTCCGCTGCCATCTTTGGTGCCTCATCGAGAGTGAAACCATGGCTCCGCACTTCTTTGTCGATGGTTCTTCTCCATGTTTCTCCATCTTTCAAAGTTTTTTATAGCATTGATTTATTGCTTAAATGGTTTAAACGGCATATAGCAGCATTTTTTTTGCCGGAAGAAGGTGATGGAAAGACATCAGATTTCAAGAGATCTGTAGGCTTATAAGTCAAAGAAGGTCCGCTTTTCTGAAAACGACGTAATCCAAATGATTAATTACCTGTATTATTCCGTCACTGTTACAGCCAGTGACGGCTGTAAGGTCGGATACAAACGCCTCGCCAGCAGCTGCTTCCGGCTCCACTTCCGACGAATGACCTGGATGAAAGCCAAAGAGGCCTGCAAGAAGGAGGGAGCGAGGCTAGCCATGCCCAAAACGAAAGAACTGGACATCGCTTTGAGAAACCTGGTCCGCACGGAAGGCCAAAACAGGAAATATTGGATCGGCTTGAAGGATAAAGAACGAATCATTCTATGGAAGAAGGACTGGGTTTGGGACGATGGGTCCAAATTGGGCAAATACAAGGTATATATACGTAATACATAATACATAATACCCTTTTTAAAGGCAGTCCTCCCATGCGTTTCACATGCATTACCTGCAAGAATACATTAGAGAGAAACTGGAATGTGCAATTTTAAAAGGCTACAGTCAATGCCACAATATTTTGACGTAGACTGGAATCCAGCTTTCAAGTTAGCTGCAGGTCCGGTCCTCAAATATCGCCTGTGAGTGGTGAGCGAATGTTTGGAAGAGTACATACAACTAAATTGATTGTTAGATTTCAGGCTAATTTTGACCTTAATGACCTTAAATTGCTCCGCTATTTTAAATAGGGATGGAATCCAGGGCAGCCATCTGGAAAAAAATGGCACCATGGGATCAGACTATGCGTGCAGTACTGGTCAGGTCCCGCTGGTTACCCCATGTGGGATGATCGTAGCTGCGATGCAAGCCGCAAGTTCATCTGCCAAGCATCCCTGACTGCCTGACATGATTGGAAGGACAGGTTTCTGCTGAGCTTCATCGTATTAGTAAAGGCCATATATAGGGCACATATTATTGTGTTCTCATGTTTCTTCTTCTTCTTCTCCTCCTTCTCTCACTGCCTTTTTAAATGGGTTCAATTTCTTCATTTTGGGGCCAAATAACATTTACATGACATTTGGCCGAATACCTCCAGGCATTGTTTGTCATCTTTTTGTTACAGGCTTTTAGAATGGCTTTAGTTGGGCTTTTTTGGCTGTGTTATAGGAAATGTACTATAGCGGTGTGTGTTACCATATTTGGAGTGTATTACCATATTTGGGCATGTGGCCAGGAAGTCTATGCCCATATTAGAGACAGGAGCAGCTTCTCTGATTAGGGATGAGGTTGCTGATTGGCTGTTCACTTAATCGCTTTATCTGGTAAAAAAAAACACATGTGCATACTTGTAAGGGAAACAATTACCTTGTTTTTTATATAATTAGTATCTAACATATATATACTAATATATATATAATTATAAACCTTGCACTTTTAAACCATATTTGGAATTTACATGTATTGTAAGCTACTTTAAAGCCTAGTGCTATATAAAGGCATGAGTAATTACTTTATTTTTCCAATATTATCTGTTGAAGTTTTTGCAACACATTACAATGGCATCATTGGAAGATTCCATTATTGAATAGGGGGACACTTTTTTAAATTCAATTTTGGAATGATGTTATTATGATAAAGTCCATTACTGTATGGAACTGTTTTCGACCTGGACCATTAAGTACCATGGGGCCATTCTGTACAGCCCATTTTAAAAAAAAGGTTATGCCCCACATTGCAGGAAAGAGTGACAAGCCTACTAAAAACAATTGAATGCAGTTCACCTGACAGGTGCCCAAAGAGGTAATCCAATTAAACCCAGCACCCAATCAGCAAAAAGATAACAACTGCCCAACGATGTCGAAAGATGCATGCCTTTTGACTGTTGCTCGGCATTCCTTTCTGATGACTTATTCTTCATATACACTAACTATGCTTCTCTGTTTAGCATTGATAACAGTCAAAGACCAAAATTATACAATTTCAAAGGGGTGCATGCCGAAAGTTATAATGAATTGTTGTTGGTAGATATATAAACCATATCCATACCAAATTTCAGATGTCAGAAAATGACAAAAAAACACACAAATAAAACAATTTTAAAAGCCTATATCCAAAGATTAAAAAAACATCTGGGACTATTTGCCCACTCTACCTCCTTGTGGAATTTCAGCAGGTCATTTGGCTGAAAAAATGACAGAGTTGAATTCATTTAAAGAAATGGCAGGAGGAGAAGAAGGAGGAGAGACATGAGAGAATACAATATATTTCACTACTTCGTTGTGTGGTGAAGCCATAAAAAGTACATATTATGTAAGGAAGTAATTTTAGACTGATCCATAACATAACACAGATCTTATTGGAAGTGTTATAGCTTACATAGAGGTCACTTACATAGAGTCCATTCGTGCATGAAGGGTGCACATTTTTAAAACTCAATTTGTTTGGAAAAGTCGTCATTTTCATGACAGGTGTCCATTTTTCATTTTTGGTATGCTTTGTGGGATGTGGTGAAGCCATTTGCTGCCTTTCTAGTTCATATCTGCATTTTGTGAATTTTGTGCCTTATATTAATATATTGTATATTAGTGTGTCCCTTGACCAACTGGCTATGTTTCTGGATGCCGGAGGTGACAATATACATACTTTTTAGAATTTCACATATATTAAATTTCAATTTCAGTTTATCTATTTTATCAGTAATTACAACTCAGGTGATCCTGGATACATGTATACATAGAACGTACACACAACAAATTTACAGTACTAGTGCATAAACAATTAATAAATATAACATCTAGAACATCAACTAGGTCAGGTTCTGTTCCTAATGACCTGTTTAAAAGTCCTGAGACTAAGGAGCTGTCGTTGCTGTAGCGGAATAGTGTTCCACAGGTAAGGTCCGTAGTACTGTAAACTGTTCTGGTATGTGGACAGTAGAGTAGGTGAGGGTCGTAGTCCCTAAAACGCTTTAAGGCCACAGCAAGTAAATTTTATGGATGACATCGTCCACAGATTCCAAATCTAATGCGAGTGGGCGAAAAAAAACAAGGCGGGCCGAAAAAAACAAGGTTCTTACAGTTTGAAATTTTGACTCAATAACTGTACAAATGGTTTTGATTCAATGGGAACATCACATATACACAGCCAACATCACATATCACTGCATCAAAGTAAGAAACAAAACATAAAATCAGAGCCTTGTCTTGTCTCCTCTCTTTATAGTTATCTGCCATGCCAACAAAATGTCTTGTTTTTTTTTCCAAAATCAGGCGAAAATTAATGCGCGCGCTGATGTCATCCATAAAAATTACTTGGTGTGGCCTAACTCTGACCGAGTAGTTCGTATGCTGTGTTGAAGGGTTAATTTATTTTTTCATTCAAAGGTTGTTGAAAGGTTAATATATTTCATTCAAAAGTCGTTTTCATGACTACCGAATCTGACTCGATATCAGTTATATCTGTACTTTATTGCACGACAATGTATGGCATAAAGAGTATTAACTACATAAAGAGAGTAACAAGCAATAAAATAATTGTATTGTAATTGTATACAATAATTGTATTGTATTCATGTACTTCATATTGTATTGAAATTATGTGCCCTTTGTGTTTTGTCCTTATATATTGACGCTCTAATATCAGCTTTGCTGCCTTGAGAGTCAGTGTAATGTTGTATTTTCAATAAATAAATAAATAAAATAATTGTATCTACAATAAGACCTAATGTCGAATAAAACCTAACACATCTATATCATAATTATTCAAATAATAAGAAATAGCACAAGAAGCGTCCATGTGTACCGTTTTATCAAAACGAATTCGTAGTCCTTTTTTACCTTGTCTGTTTGACAGATTATAGCTCAAGTAGTGACGCCTACATTTCTATTGAACCGACACTGTAATGCTTTGGTTAATAATATTGTGTACTGCTTGAAAACAATGTGTAAGGGTTGCGTAGTGCAGGCTACTTTTTACAGGATATGTGATGAAAACATGTGTCTGCATCCCACATCACTAGCGCCTTGCTATGAAAAAACAGTGCTCAACTTATAATACATTGTGGTATAAGTAATGTTAGAAGTTTCACTTTGAACATAGCATTTTAATAAAATTTCAAAACACCAAGTTTCTGTGTTGTTGATATACTATTATGCCTTAGATCATTTGTTGAAATGCTGTAATCATAAGAAAAAAGTGGTTCGGTCGGTATTCAAACTAGTTTCCAAAAAAATGTTGATAAACGACTTATGGTGACTAAAATCTTTGAAAGAATTCCCATGGGGGTGTTTTATGCTACAGGAGGAGAAGTACTGGTCCAGAACTGCCCTAAGTAAACACACAAACAAACGAACAAACAACAACAGTGGAGTTGTGTGCCATAACGGGGCAGGTGGGAATTTTGATACAGCGTTTTAAAGAGTTTTAAACACGTTCTTTTAATAGCCGACCATCCTACAACTAGCCGCGAGAGAAGGTGGACGGAATGGAACCTTCTCTCGCGGCTGGTTGTAGGATGGCCGGCTATTAAAAGAACGTGTTTAAAACTCTTCAAAACGCTGTATCAAAATTCCCACCCGCCCCGGAGCCTGCACAGGAGGCTATTGTCCTTGACCCAATACAAAGACCTAGGGATACGCGAAACACTATACATGCCTGTTTGACCCCTAAACACTTAAACACCGCCACCTGATACATTTCAAGGCCAGATCTGTTTACGTCTAACCTGTTTGGTTGGCTTCACTGACCTGTGTCCATTTCAAGGGCGTTCCGCATTCTTTGTAGAAAATGGCGGACACCGAGTTCTTCGCGCTATCACGTTTAAGCTTTCAGACGATTCTGGTGCTCTCCGTTTCTTTCCTTCTTGCGTACCTGTTTCTTCGACGACCTAGGAACCTCCCTCCGTACCCTGCAGGGTGGTGGCCTTTCTTCGGGCACCTCCTCGCCTTGGGCCGAGCGCCTCACCTCAAGCTGACGGCGTGGAGGCGGCAGTACGGGGACGTCTTTACCGTCAGGTTGGGGATGACAGACGTGGTGGTTCTGAACGGCTACAAAGCAGTAAAGGACGCGCTCGTGCACAGGTCCGACCTGTTCGCATCCAGACCTCCAAATTACACATTTGACTTTATCACTGGATTTGGAAAAGGTTTGTAAACCTGTGTTCGTTTTTACAGCAAAAGTATGCAGCTTTCTGACTCAGTCAACTCTTCTAAGGCCCACTGGTGTTACCAGAATCATGTTTCATTCCTAATTATGCTCAGGCACGGTCCTGAATAGTCCACGCGTATCCAAACAATGCAACGCTGAAGACTACACAGAACCGTGCCCTAGCCTAAACATAACCCATTCAGGCTATAAAAAGGGGTGGCTCTGAAACAATAACATGCCGTCTAAAACCTAACACCGGACATAGATTCTCCACAATAGTTCTATGTTTATCCACCGTCCGTTCATTTTTGTTCTTTTTTTCTTTGCAAAACCTAAAACACACACCCTTAAGGTCTTGCAACTGCCCGATGGGGACATGGGTTCAAACAGAAGAAGAAGTTCACTACCAGTGCCCTGAAGACCTTGGGTATGAAAGTGGGAAAAGGCAGCGTTGAAGACAAGATTCGAGAAGAAGCCAGGTGTTTGTGTGACAAGGTGGGTTTTGGTGGACTTTTGTAATCTTCTATTCCTGCTATTATATTTCAAGGTGGAGCTGAAAGAAAGATTGCATTTATGTCATACGAAAGCTGTACAATAAACAATCATAACATCACTAAATCGTTACTTAATCGTATGTTAGACCATAGCAACCCATACATTAACTGTCCACCATCTTGGATCGTAAATATTGAATTTTCGAAAATACTTTTTTTTCAATATAAAGTCTAAAAATAAAATGGAAATAGGCTAGAGAGGCTCAAATCAACCTTTTTTGTTTTAAAAAATCGAAGTTGGGATGACATTTTAAGGAAAATAGTCAGAAAGTACTGATTCTAATGATATGGTCCGCCATTTTGGATTTTGGGCAATGGCGTTATCAAATAAGCATAAAGTATGCATGATTATTGATAAAAATTACATAAAATTATATTTATTTATATTAAGAACATGTTTAAATTAACATAAAAGCTAGAAAATTTCATAAAGTCAAAATTACTGATTTTTGCAAAAAATGCCTGTCAGAAAGACGAAAAAGTAATAATTTATCTCACTACTATGAAACTGTTGGCAACAATATTTTAGGAAAAGTCATTAAGTTTGGTGGCCCTACATGTAGCACAAGCCGTTTGGACGCTATCCAATATCAAAGTTGGCGTGGGCACTTGTAGCCCCCCCCTCCCAGTCTAGGGTTTAAAGTTGCTATATAAGTAATGGTTGCCGGATTCCATGATTTGAATTTTCTGTCAACAATAGATTCGGTTTTAGAGTGTACTACTAACTTAAAGGTATCCTTTCTTTATTCTGTATTTCATAGCCAATATAGATATAAGAAAACATACACATAGAAATACACATAATAACAACAATAAAAAATATGACTATGAGTACAGACAGACCTAGATATTGTGAAATAATGGGTTACGGAAGATTACATCGGATTTAAGAACAGATTGGATGATGTTATTTGATGAGTTGTACACACAAGATATGAAAAACTTATTACCATTGAATTTTCGCAATGTAGCGTCAACGGTGTCTGTCCTATAGTAAACAAACATTTTACTGGCACTGCAAAATTTGGGCAAAGACTAGTCTCAAAGCAGTTCTTTTGATGGGGGTAAGACTCTTAAAGGGTATCAAATTAGCCAGCCTGTGCTTCGGTCGGCAAATGGATACAGGCTGACCAATTTGATACTGCCTTACCCCACTGAAAGATCTGCTTGGAGACTAGGTAAAGATATATAATGTGGAGACAATTGTAGGCAATGCAACACATTGATACAACTCTAGGGCTAGCGGAGTCCAATAACTTTGAAGCAATTGAGATAATAAGAATTGATCAAAACGTGCTAAATGTTTTTGAAATTATTCAATGCGATTTCAGAGCAGCAAAACTGGCAATATTCTGAATAAGGCAATCTAAAACTGCAGAAACAAGCCCCAAGATTAGTCCTTTATTTTCTTGTTGGTACCCTAAACATTTGTCCAGGGCCCTTCCAGTAACCATTTTCTGTAAGAAGTTTGGGTATTTTTGCTCCATTAGGGTCAATATACAATGGGATTGTGTGGTTTTAACTCATCATGTAGATAAATGACTAGAATATTGGCTTTGAAAAATCGGGTTTCCAACCCCTAAAACTGCACTGGATGCCTTTAAAAATTTAGTGTTTTTTTGTTGTTTCCCAGGTTGCAGAGTATGGTGGGAATCCCTTTGACGTCGAGGAAGACTTACGTACCACGGTAGCCAACGTTCTTGTCTCCATGGTGATTGGCAACCGTTTTGACTATGGAGATGAGCGGTTCCGGGAACTGTCAGAGGCGATGGTCGGTACCCTGGTCAGCATCACAGCTGGTCAGCTGGTCAGCCTCTTCCCTTTCCTGCGATTTGTTCCGTATGGTAAGTCCCATAAAGTCAAGAATTACATGTTGTGTCCATAGAGATGTGTAGTGTCCGTAGAACTTGTGTACCATACACAATGTTGCAATTTTTTATTAAATCTGTCACTTCCCGTTAGTTTTGTCACGTCATTTAACATAATTAGAAGCAAATATTTTAAGGAAAAAAATTAGTGTTGCCTAGTGAGCTATTATAGCTTTAAAATGAACAAATACTATAATGGTATTTGTTTATTGCTCATTTTAAAGTAAGCATGTAAAATTTTAAAGAGTATGATGTAAACCGCTCGTCTTTGTCTTAGTATTTAAGCGTCATGCATGGTATCTCTTGAAGTACAGTTTTCTGAACTGAAAGTGGAAACTTGAAAAGATAGGTAAAATTTTGAAAAAAAAAGCCAAATTGTAAAAATCTCCGATCAAGCGCAAAACTTTCATATATTCTAATAGCCCAGCAAAGATAAAGCCTGGCTTAATTTTTCAGTGAACAAGTCTTACAATGATACGATCAAGTACAACGATAACATTCTGAAGTTACTGAGGGAAGAGATATCTCGCCACCGTCGTGACTTGGACCGCGAGAATCCACGAGACTTCATCGATTATTGCCTGGTTGAGGTGGATAATCATGACAAGGTCGACAACCTGACAGAGGAGAATGTGATGTATTTTGGTCAAGAACTCTTCTTTGGTGGGATTGACACAACTTTCAACACCCTCCGGTGGAGTCTCCTGTACATGGTACTAAACCCAGATGTCCAGAGGAAGGTACGTTAATCACCTTCGCCAAGAAGTTTATGTTTTTGGTGGCGCGCGCGCGCGCGTGTGTGTGTGTGTGTGTGTTTGTGTGTGTGTGTGTGTGTGTGTGTGTGTGTGTGTGTGTGTGTGTGTGTGTGTGTGTGTGACACGATAACTTGAGAAGGTTTAAATGGATTGTCTTTATATTTAGTAGGTGGGTAGGTCTTAATAATAAATGGTTTTTATTGTCCAAACAGTACCCGTGCAGTCGCAGCCTTTATACGACTGAATTGATGCAGGGTATCACATAATAATCAATACAAATCACAACAATTACAACATTCAAATAATACAAATGATACACATATTTGTTCCACAATTATTTTGTGGAACTGTCGCAAGGGTCTGTGCGGCTGCCATTCGGCGCCACAAGGTGACCTCAATACGACTTTCCCCAACCGAAGTTAGGTACCCTTTCACACCTGGGTGGAGTGAGGAAATTCGTGTAAAGTGCCTTTCCCAAGGGCACAACGTCGGGGCGCAAGTTCAGACATGTCCTGGGTACGACTCGGAGTCGAACCCGGGTCTCCCGCTTCACAGTCTATTGCTCTAACCACTACACCACCCGACGCCACAAGGTCTTGACGAGTCCTCGAAATGTTTAGATTTCGGGTTTTGATATCTCGTATTCTAGATAAGCTTCGGTATTTCACGAAATTTTGATGGTAGGTAGCTCTTGTGGGAAAAAAGTGACGTGAGTTTTGCCCCACTAGAAACTTGTTCTTGACGTATACATGGGCGTTTGTTGAAAATATGTACATGAAGGATAACTCAAGAACCGGTTAATGGGTCGGAGGTGTTTGTTGTTTAGAACAGCCGATTGCGCGGATGTCATACATAAAATTAAATATGTGTGGCCTTATCAGAATATCGCAGTCCAGAGGTGGCCTTGGTCGTGGTTCGTTCAGTGCTTATCAAGGCCCTTGGACACAAATATTTCTATAATCCATCTCATCTACAGGTACAGACGGAGCTTGATGCAGTTGTTGGAGGCACCTCGCCCACCCTGTCCCATCGTTCTCAGCTGCCCTACACTGAAGCTACTCTGGCGGAAGTACAGCGTATCCGGACGGTGGTCGCTCTAGGTCTGCCCCATGCCACCACACAACAAGTCACAGTAGCTGGGTTCGACGTTCCGGCCGGAACTCAAGTATGCCATTGACATGACAACCATTACCACAAAGTTATATATTTCCTATTTTTTATCTTACTATGTAATATGATTCAAATGTTTAATCATTGCGTTTCACAAGCACATATGTTTTGTTTATATTCATTAGGTATTACATCTATGATATCTAAAATTGGTTGATTTGTAGGTACTTTGTACTATGTATGTACTTTGTACTATGTATGTACTTTGTACTATGTATGTAATTTGTACTATGTATATATTTAAATATTTCAGGTCATCATGAACTTGTACTCCCTACACGTGGACGCTGTTTACTGGCCGGATCCGGAAAAGTTTGACCCCGGCAGGTTTCTGAACGCTGAAGGACACGTCATGAGAAATCTGGATTCCTTCATGCCGTTTTCCGGAGGTTAGTGATATATATGCGCCATATTTATCTCATGGAAGCTCTTCTGTCAACCAACGTAATATCATAGTATGCTGCTAAACTTCTTTTTTTAAATATTCCGACATGTAATCACAAGACGTAGTGGCGGCAGACCCTTATATTATATTAATGCCACCACCAACATCGGGGACAATACAATACCCACCCCTGAGCGAAGTTAGGAAAGTCGTGTAAAGTGCCTTTCCCAAGGGCACAAGATCGGTGGCATGTCAGGACTCGAACTAGGCAATTAAAAACGGGACTCGAACTAGGGACTTCTTGGTTCCGAGTCGAGCACTCTGCCGCTACGCCACACGACCCCACTAAACTTTATTAAAAACTCAAAGGTTCAACAATCACTGTCGCCTTCATCAGGATAAGAAATTACCAATTGCTGTCGCACGTGAATGCGCGAGAGTTACGGACACGTGACTTCACAAGAGACATTACAGATACGTGAAGTCAACAATTGTCACACGTGTCAGGTAGTTTATATCGTCCACCGTCCCCGTTAAGTGATGACCGGAGTGCCCGGATATATATGGCCTCCTTTATACCTCTTTAAAAAGTCCTGCATGTACCTGTGTGTCAGAATAAAGCTTAGCACCGTACTTTCCCATATTCGTTTTATCGCATATACAGGTAAGTAAAGGGGTTTATAAAAGGTAAACGTACACTAGAGGCATCTGAAGGTTCATACGCAGCTCCTACACTAAATCATAATGATTAAAATGAATGGACGGAAACAAAAATGTAACTAATGCGTATCAATGGGTCAGCAACAAATCCCTAACGACCCTAAAGTATATGTTTTGACCTGTTATATCAGATGTAAATTTAGGTTATGGATATTTCCTTTTTCAGGACGTCGTGTGTGCCCTGGAGAGCAGCTCGCAAAGATGGAACTGTTTCTTCTCTTCTCTAGCTTGCTGCAGCACTTCACTTTCAAGCTGCCAGAGGGCGCCCCGCCTTTGTCTACTGAAGGGATATTGGCGATCACACTTACAACTCATTCGTATAAACTCTGCGCTGTTCCTCGTTAATTTGTAGTGGCAAAAACTACCTCAACAAGTTCCACAACCTCATACATTCCCCAAATTACGTTTCCCCTACATGTTCATGATATATACTGTATTATATTCTCTACCAAATGACAGCCTTATCTCAACAAAGGTCATTTCTGCATTTCCTCATAAATTATGCAAATTAAGTCCTCATTTAGATAATTTATGCTTAATGATGTTAACGTCCAAATGCCTCGAGTATGACATTTCTGGCATTTACCATTATCAAATTACAGCAATTTTCATTATAGAGGCAAATTAGGCCATTTTTTTACATATTAATTACATAGTTCATATCTGCTCATTTTCCCTTCGTTCCTATTACATATGTCGGAAGGTTGATCAGTCCGATCTTAGAACACAGTGGATTTGTAAAATTTCATCATTCATCATGCAAATTAGGTTGTCATTTACATAATTGCCTTTTTATTATCCTCAGTTTATGTAAGCCCTTTTGTGTTATGTTGTTTACAGACAGACCTACATGTACACGCGAAAGCCTATGAAATTATGACTTGCTTACCGAAGGTAATTAGATGCTAGACAAGTAGTCAGTAGTTGTAGGGTGTTTGTGAGTGACGTCACGACCACCATTTCTTCACGAGGTGGTAAAGTATTATATAAAGGCAACTGTTATGCGAAGGTTTATCAAACTTTGAACTTGGTACATATTTATGAGTGATATGAAATCTGCATGGTAAGGCATGTCATTTTTAAAATGACTTATTTAACCTGGAGGTTGCAGTTTTGTTGTAAAGGTAAGTCTTATTTATCTTAACATATCGTCTACTAATTTTGTGTGATGCTTTGTTTGCACTTTCCACTTTGAATCATAAAAAATGAAAGATTCTACTGCTGTCTTATCGGCTTTGTTTAATACTGCTAGACGGCTATCAGAAATAGAATATTAACTTACAATCACACAGTTAGCCCAAAACAATGTCTCATTGATTCATTCTCATTTAAATTTACGTAATTGTACTATGTTGCTTTATTTCTTAACACATCTACCCATGGATCAACGGACAGGTTAGCCTTGTCATGTGGCATGGTTTTGGCGACAACTTCCTTACATACAAACATATGGAGCTAATTTTTTGCATGAAAATCTACCGTTTCATATAGGACATTGAACAAACGCTTATTAAGTAAGAGGACAACACAAAGCCAGACCCTAGCATAATTTAGGTGAGTGTAAATCAAATACTGTATGGTTCTCTATAAACAGGAATGACCTCATTTGCAGAGTGTTGTGAAACAACAAACCCAGATCTAGAGATAAAACTCAAAACATTATCTTTTTTCTAACTTTCACAATTCATTAGGAAAGCACGTTCTACAAGGTTTGACATCTCCAAAATCATATCGAGATATCAACGTATTCTGTGTTTTCAAAATCATGGCGAAGTCGTTAGGAAATATAGAACAGAAGCGCCTCCTAGAGCAAGAAAGATAAACGACAGGTGATCACAAAAGATACCTCACAACGACCTCAGGGCATCCAAAAACTGGCTCGTCGACCGTTTGACGTCACAGAAAAGATACGCCAAGATAAAAACAGGCATTAAATGTCAACTACTGCTAGTCTGTCTTAATTTTCCAACGGGAGGAATATCCAGCAACATGTTGGGGCATATTTCTGACCAGGTTTCCTTTTGGAACTTATTTTACATCGTCACTACAGTTTTGTACGTCCGTTCATGTACAGGTGAATCAGCTAATGACCATGTTTACATTATCCCCTGTGATAGCCTCAGTTTTGGGTCCACACTTTTTTTTCAGACGGAATATTCTACGTTACTTAACTATTAGTTCATATGGCATATAAAGCTCATATACTTCGTCTTCCAAAACGCAAAGATGCCAACAACTTATGGATTTACAGCATGCATACATAACAACAGAGCTAGGTAAACGACTGGTACTAAATTAAAGATAGAGCTTAGTAGTTAAGTGATCTCCAAGCAGATCTATCGGTGGGGGAAGACAGTATCAACTTGGCCAACTTCGGTAGGGAAATGCATATAGACTGGTCAATTTGATACTGTCTTCCCTCACGGATAGATCTGCTTGGAGATTAGTAGTTTAGTGTAAATTGCTTCCCCTTGAAAATTACACAGATTCTGTGATACAATCACAATAAGCACCATACTTATTATTATCTCATGCAATAGTATTAAAACATTATGGCCCAAAATATAATTCAGCTGTTTATGAACTATAACTCGATCGAGATCACATTAGAGACCACGTCCGCTCTACTACTGGCTGCAATCGCCTACGGGGTCGAGTGTCCCCCATACATTTCGTCATTTGCAAGGTCATTTATTTACGTCTCGCTGCGTCTCAAAAGATCCCCTAAACCGAGCGTTATGCTGGAATGTCAAAACAAATGTCACTTTAGACAACACCTCAAAACCCGAACTGGTTGTGTATTTGGTGTTGCTTATTACCTCCATGAAAAATGGAGGCATTGTTTTCGGTAAGTCTGCATGTGTGTGTGTGTGTGTGTCACTGTGTGTGTGTGTGTGTGTGTGTGTGTGTGTGTGTGTGTGTGTGTGTGTGTGTGTGTGTGTGTTTGCGTTTCCAGACATTTACAGCCAGCATAACTTTTAAACCTTTGGATGGATTGTAATGATATTTGGTATGTAGGTAGGTATTGGGTAGGCAAAGGTCAATTTTAATACGGGCCTCCTGGTGGCTGACCTTGGTACTGCAGCAGAATTTCCGATTTTTGTATCTTTTGTCCTGAACATGCTATGGACCTTAGATTTTCGTGACAGATAGCTTTCCCTGTCAGGAGTAATTGGTGAAGGTTTGGACCCCCTAGCAACTTGTTCTAGAACTGCAGGGGAGTTTCTGGCGAAATCTTTTAAAGCCGATAAGTCAAGATAGGAACTACATATTTCATCATTTTGGTATGTACGTAGCTGAGAGAGAGATGCACATAATCAGATGCAAATCATGCAAATCTGTTTTTTATACATTTAATCTAATCTATGGCAGGTGGAACATCAACAGATATCAATTATGCAAAAGATGACGATAATTTGTATAATTAATGTGAAAATTCTGTGGTTCCTTATTGGTGAATGATGGTGAATTTTGTACCTTGTGACATGTGTAGAGTACTTAACATTTAACATCACTAAGCATATATTATGCTAATAAAGCGGGTATTTGCATAATTGATAAAGTTATGTCGAACGAAGGTTTGACAAAGGAGAGAAATTTTACACGCAATGTATTGTAATTTGACTTTAGAAAAGTATAAATTGAACTAAATCAGGGTAATTACGACATTATTTCCATAGTCAATGAGACAAATAAAAAAGCATTTACAAAAACTCATATTTCATGGAAGTATATATACGTCTCCGAAATCTTGTCTAGATCTAAAAACATCACTAATCTTCCTGGAGTCCACACAAAGTATTACAAAATGTAACCACGGGATGTACAACAAATTAAGGAATGGAAAACTGATATAAGCTTAACTGAAAACCGGAATGATAGTCAAAATAACGTAAATCAATTATACAACAAAGTTTTATACGTTGTTTAAACGTAACATTGTTCATAACATTCCGCAGGAGAAGAATCAATTCATCAAGTAAGGACACAACTTAAAGTGAACAGAAACGCTGCTTACGATGAAGATACATTTACATCTCTCCAACACACACGTGATACTCCAAAGGACGAGGCAACAGAAGCCACGCTGAAACTAGGTGCAGATACAAGGACATTTCTGGATCTTTTTCACGACTTGATAGAAAAGCCTACTAAACACAGACAGATATTACAGAGCAGATTCTGTCATGGAAATATTTCTAAGCGACATTCAAGAAATGCCATTGATAATCGTGGCACACATTTTCAGATTATCCCCACAACCAAAAAACTAAAACCTATATGGCCAACAGCCGTGTTACCTACCACAGATATAACAATAACGCCAATCACATCCTTATCTGTAACAAGCAAAGAGACAACAGAACTATTTTCAGAAGATTCTAAAAGAAGAACCACACTGCTGCCTTCCATCACAGCCGATTTGGCTCGAACTTTGCACAGTGATAGTACTTGGCCCACAACCCCTCAAAATAGCTTTCCTTCCGGTCAACACCGATCGTTGCCATAGTAACGGGCCAAAAAAGTTTCGGGGCCATTTTCCCTGATTTAGACATGTGAAAAACATGAAATTTGGCATAGTTTAAGGCACGATTACGAGCAAGTGCTTTAATATTATGGAAAAACAAAGTATGGGCCTAAAAGACCAACTAATCCGCTATTCTAGAATAGCTTTGAAATTTTAAAGAAGTTCGTTTAAAGGACCTGAGCAACCCTAACACAATACAGTGTTTGAGGCTTAAGACAAAGCGTTATTTCTGCCCAACTTCGAAGTGCTGTAAGTCCAAAGATGGTGTTTTTTTTTGCTTCAAATTTGAATCATAGATACAAAAACATATGTGCTATAAAATGCATGGTTGCAAACTTTGGGCACTTCTTTGGTTGTCACGTGGTTGTCCTTAGAAGTAGGTCAAATTTTGAATTTGAGGGAAAATATGATTTTCAGCCATGGATACAATATCTACGAAAGAAGGAGAGCAATCTGATAAAGTCTTTTGACCAAGGTAACACTATGTCTTGTCTATCTTAACTACCCCCAATTAGAGACATCGTCATGTACCATAAGTGACACCTGCCCGTCCGAGTACGCCCAATCAGAGTCATTACATTATATTACATTAACAAATGAAGTTGGTGGCAGGGCCGCATGCAAAGTACACAGTGGTAACGCTGGTAGCCAAGCACAATACAGGCGACAAGAATATGCCAGTGAGAGTACAGATGACGATGAAGTCATGCTGTTTCAAGAATTTGTGTTCAAGCTATCATGAATAAGGCCAGTAATACGTACGAGGGTGGATCAAAAAGTTCTCGGCCTCACCTAGAAAACGTCGTGGCAGAAAAAAAATTTCTTTCACTATGTTTCAACATAGTCCCCTCTAACTGCAATGCACTTGGTCCAGTGATGTT